AGTCTCACTACGCCATGAAAAAAGGAGGATTTCCTGACTTTGAGGCTTGGAAACTTCCAATGACCTACAGCTCCGACATGATCTGCTTACGATTTCTCGTTTACCCTAGGTCCCAGGTGTTCCATGCAGGCGTGTTCTTAGATCTCTTATTAGGAGCTGCTCCAGGTTGGTGGGGAGTTTGGTGGGAAGGGTTGTGGACAGGATGGCGAGTAGCCATGCTGCAGTGTTTATTGCATGATGGTTCATGAGGCTCCCCGCCAAGGTTGTCACACTGCGTTTATACTACGCCTGAGTATGCGTTCAATTTCGCAGGTTAGCCTGCGGCTTTGCCCGGCCAAACAGGTGCTCGCAGCGATGCCATCGAGGGAATGTCCTACGAGGGTCAAGGCGCAATCGGACTTGGGCAATGCATAACGGTGTTCAGGGTTTCTGTGGGAGCGTTTTGCATCCCAGGCCTTGCTACAGTCACCGTGATGCGAAGTGCAAGCCAGGTGTTGACATGCTGCTAGTTTGCAGATGCTGCTCGTTTATTTCTGCCGGTGGCGCTGGTGCCATTGCTGGCAATCTTGCAGCCAGAAGAACTTCGCCATGGCAGGCAGCGCGCCTGTGGACGACGACATCGCCACTGAACTACCACAGGACTCTGGCTATTGTGGTGCTCGCATTCTCAAATGTTGGGTTGTTTTGATGTGGCTTGCCTTTGGATCTAGCTAAAGCCCAGAGAAATGGTGTTGGAGCATTGGCCCAGCCAATATGCTTGCTGGAAGGATGGTGAGCAGGAAGAGCAGCCGCTGGAAGTGTTCCCAGCCACAGACGACGAAGAGGTGGCTTAGGGCTGTTGGAGGGCTAGGCCTTCAACTTCTACGATCAGTTCACTTGCCTATCTTGCCTCTTCCCACGATGTCGAAAGCTTATAAAGTCCGTAGCAATCAACCTAAAGCCTGAACTTGATGAACAGGAGGTGGATGACACCGCGCGCAAGGCGGGCAGATCTTGGCTGCTTCAGCAGGAAACCGTGCTAGTTGCTCAGGGCGCCTAGCGCTTGCAAATGGTACAGGCAATACAGCTTAGCATGGGTGGAGCCCGGTGTTCTTCTACGATTGCGTACGCAGGCGCTGAATTCTCTCCTCGGCATTGTCCCTGACCAGGGCCCTAGCGCGTACATGCACCTGGCTGGCAGAAGATTTCAGGGTTGCGGCTAACGAAAGGCTTCCTTCAAGTGGCCAGGGTCCCAATTCAGGGATCCCAAAGCTGCCCGTCTCGCTTCGTGTGGCTCTGCTGTGCAGCGCATGCAAAAGCTTTCTGTTACACCCTTCGAAAATCGTGTCTGGGAGCTGGGGGCGCAATGTCCCAAGTGAAAGCCAGTTCCAAAGCCAAGGCCTGTGGGTCTTCAGGTAGCCGCGCAGCAGCTGCTGGTATGCCCCACCTTTTCCGGGGCGGCAGTGCGCCCTGGCCTTCTGCTTCTCTTGAGCAGGATGCTTCGAAATGGGAATCCCTTGCTTTGATAGCAGGTGCCCATATCATCCTAACGAGGTCTCAGCGTAAGTCGACGTGTTGCCATTTTGCAGGAAGGCAGTATGCCAGCTACTGGACAGTGATCTTCCAGCCATGCGTTCCGTCTGTCTGCCCATCGTGCCTTTTCGCAGCTGAGCTGGTGGGAGTGGCATTTGCCGAGGTGCTCTGAAGCCAGCTACCCCTCGAACCTCACCCCAGAAGGCCGCATCCACAGAAATGAAGCAACCGGCTGCTCTGTTCTAAGGCGCTAGTTTGCTTGCATGCATTTGGGAGACAATTTAAGACAGACCTCTTTGATCAAGTCTAGTCTAGCTCATTTTGCTCTGGCTGGTGGCATTTGTCGAGAGACATGGGCTCTTACCGCAATGCCTTTGTGAGTCCCTGAGCCTGGCAACGTTGCGATTCTCGAGCAGGTCCTGGGGCCTTTTCACTCAGCATTCAGCTTCTGAACATTTGAACGGATTCCGCCGATATTTTGGAGGTACGTTGACTACTTCCCAATGATACGGTGCAGATGGTTTTGATTGAAGGATGCATAGCAGCCTGAAGCCGCAGCTGGTCCCACCAATGCCTCGTGAGGGGCTCTAAAGTAGTGCAGGCGGATCCTGTGTGAAGTGAACCTGCGAGGCTGGGTGGACTGTGGAGAAGCCTGGACCTCGATGGCGGGACAGGAGACCACAGGGCAAAGTGTTCTTCCATGCAATGGAGAAGTGCCTCAGCACAGCGCCTCATGACCTCGGGGAGCACTTAAAAATGACGGGGAGCGCGTTTTCTGAGTATGGGTTTAACTCTAATTTCCCCTGGGTTGGTCGGCAGGACATTCTTAGGTAGCTTTTAACCGCCCTGAACCCCTGCCACTCAATGATTTCAGGATGCTGCTTGCGACTTCCCTGGCTACTTCGAGCCCGACTGGTCGCTCTTAGAGCCCTGGCGTTGCGCGACAGACGCAGAGCTGCTTGGCCTTTTGAGTGTTGCTGCTTTTGCCATCTTTTGCCATTGATATGATGAACGGCCGCATCTTGTAGCAAGATCCCAAGGAGCATTGCAGAAATCAGCAGCTGCCAAGGATGCTTTTTATTGCATGGCTTCTTAGTCCTAAGCGGCCAGGCATTCAGCGGTGATGCAGGGTGTGCAAGCAGTGCCGCCTCTTGCCCAATTCGGTTTAGGGTCGCTGACCTCTGGAAAGTTCTGGCGGGGCTTGCTTTCAGCTGCGGTTATGTTCGGACGCAAAATAGGATATCAGTGGTAGCAAGGCCTAGAGAATGCAGCAGGACAAGTGTACACGATGATATCGTCGTCTGTGGCCATTGACCGTGCTTTTTACTTTGGTTTTTGCATCCCATCTTGCCCCCGCCCCCACCAGATCCCACCCGTGGGATAACGCATAGTGCTGGTCAAGCATGGAAGGTTAGAAGTCTGGCAGATGCATCTGGCTGGACAGCTCGCTCAGTGCGGCTTTATGCTGGAACCAGTTCAGGCCGACTGTGAGGGTTGACGGATTTGAAGGATGCCCTCTGCTCCCCTGAAACTTACCAGGGTTGTGTACATCCCTTTTGGCCTTGTTGCCAAGTTCCAACTCCCCCTGTCCTCAAGACTTGCAGGTGCCAGACGGTGACTTGGCCTGACAGTGTGGGGCTTCAAGAGAGCGTAGCAGGACTCGGCATTTGCAGGAAGGATTGCCCTCAAGCTGCATACTACAAGCCTGTTCGGCTTGTGGACGCTGAAACCCTTTGCTAGCCACATGCTGCCAGCGGGCAACGATACCAATAGCCATGGCACACTCAATGCCCAGCCTCTCCCAGGACACTGGGTGAGCGCAGACGGACGCCAATTTGATCAGATTTGAGCTTAGAGCTTCACTCGCGGGGCTGAGGTTTGTATTTCCAAGCGCGATTTGAGTCTGTCTGTTTAGCCCCGCGAGCCTTGGCCCTAATGCCAGTTGCCGGACTGCGGTAGAACGTTTTTTCTGGCTACACAGGCTTGAGCGCCTACGCGTTTTGCGAATTGAGCCCGTGCATGGCTCCTTGCAAACCTCCGCTTTGTGGGGACTCGCCGGGGACTCCGACCTCTGTGAGGGGAACCGGGGTCCAGTCAAACCTCTATGCGCATAACGCATGCCATCCTCGCCACGGAGGACCCGTGCCCTGCTTTGAGGGGGTTAGTGTGAATACGCCGTAGGGGCTGCTGCAACATGACTTCCTTCGCACAAGACTTCCTCCGCGCACCGGCTCTCTGCGAATTTCCGTGCGGTGCCGGGACAATTCATACTTACCAGGCACAGTATTTGAGAAGGATGCCTCGACGTTGCGGTTACAATGGATCCTGCAAAGTCCAGCCACTACTGTAGCTGTCGTTTCTGATAATGCTGTTTGCTCCGTTCGTCATTTAGAAGATTCTTTCGGGAAGGGGTTTGGAAGGTGAGGATAGCCAGGGGTGAAATACTACTGTCATCAGTGGAGCCTATGCAGGATCTATACAGCCACCAAGCCAATGGTAGAACCCTGTCATGAAAGATCCAGCGTGGCTAGCTCTCGCTCGGGTTGTGTGTGGTTGCCCACTAAAAAAGCGACAGCATGATTGAGAGATATACTACCTGTTCTTGGTGTGCAAGCTCTTTGAAATGGCCACTGTATGAGTAGTAATTGCTATGACCAAGACACTGGTGAGCCATGCTGGATTTTCATGTCAGCATGGATGGCGGAGCTGGGCCCTGAACGTATCTTGAAGCCTCTGAGAGACTGTTGCTCCCATTGCTAGACAAGAGCCCCCTAGTATTTGGTTTTGGGGATTTGGGGCGGGAAAATAAGGAAGGGCCTTGTTCCTCAGTCCAGTAGCTTTAGCCGAAGCTGTAGGCTTCTGAAAGAAAGGTCCCTTTTGGCTTTGCACAAAGAAGGGAAGACGTCACAGCATGTTAGGCAGCTGTGTAGTCCCAATGCTGCCTCCCATCCCCAACTGCCTGTTTGCTGCTTCTGCTGCGGCTGCTGCGGCTGCTGCTGTGCGTTGTCCTTGTTATCATTGTCAGAATCGTTGGCAGTAGAATCACCAGCACCACTCACCAACCTCGCAACTGGTTGGGATCAGTCACTTTTTCAAAGCCACTAGCTCTTGTGACTGTTTTCTGTCGGATTGCCGTGGCCGGAAAATGGGACCTTCACTCCGCCCAGGCAGGCGCTGCGAGCTCCACCGGTGAAAAAGCAAGCTTAGGGAGTGCATTTTACCATGCCAGTGATGTCTATCCTTTTGTTGGCAGTGCGGAACTAGTGACCGGCAGAACGGCGAAGTAGCCGCGTCAAATTATAAGGATTGCATCGCGCCTGCTCCTAAACATGTGTTTGTAGAGTTTAACTTGAGCAGTATCCCCATACTAGTGACTAGTGACGTCGTGTTTTTTGCAGCTTGGGACAGTGCCCTTTGTGATGTACTGAGTGGTCTCCTTCTGCAGAGGCATGGCAGAAAACAAGAATGCAATTTGTCCAGTGCCGCAGGCTTGCACCCACGGCTGGTGGAGATTCTGCGAGGGTGCAGGGCTTAACCGCTTGTTCAGTGGAAAATGCAGTGGTTGCTCAAGTCACTTGAGAAGCTGACATGCGTGTTCGTTCTTTTGCTGTTCATGTTCAGATGGGCAACCAAGCTCAACTGTCTTGAATGTGGCTCAAGTGTTGGCACAAGATTCCAAGCACCTCGCATTTCCGTCTTCCCCTCTAATCATGTCGAGCCTTCTGGGCTTTCGACTTCTGGCGATGGTGCTGTCAACCGCTTCGGGCACCTCACTACT